AAGTCAAAAGTTGAAATTGTGCCTATGGGTAATTACTTAAACTAGATAACTTCCAAAGATTAAATATAATATATAAATAAAAATCTTTGAAACAGGGAAAAATTAATAAATTACTTAGTCATATTGTCTTAGTCCCATATTTATATTACAAGGTAAATAATACATTTTGTACTTAACATCTTGCATTTAACATCAACATAGTAAAATTTGAATGTAATCTCTAATCATCATCAAACAATATTTTTCAGAAAATATGTATAAAAATAGTTTTAAATGATCTTTTAATTTTAAAACACAATTACTATTTACTAATACATTTTCTAGTTAATACTTAATTGTAACCCATAAGTTAAATGTATGTGGGGCTAAGGCCATCCATTAGTGCAGGGGTACCCTACGTCCCTACCCTAAAAATGTGTTGTATATACTTTTAAAATTATTATCCATTCACATGTCGTATCCTTTCCCCTAGGCTTATTCTTTTTTTTTGTATAAAAAATAATATGATAAAGCAATATTTAAGTATATTTACCGCACTCTTAGAATAGTCAAAAATGTATATCCCCCTGACTCCTTTCAAAAACGCTGAGCACCTCATTGGTGGTCATTAATGATTAGACAAATACTTAAATAGGCTCGTAAATAGGTAAACAAATTAATTTGATAAATAAAAAGAAAATTCTGAACATGAACCAAACAGTCTACATGGGAGCATGGGAATATGGGATACAGTGGTAATGAAATAGCACCTTAAGATGAGACAATTCTGTATTTCAACAAACAATCCACCTATATGTGCAATATGTGTCATAAATATATTGTTTTGGTAATTTGCTTACATAATCATTAAGTTCAAGATTAAGTTAATCTGCCATGAAATATATTTGAATTAGTAAGTTATTATACAAAAAAACCCACACCTATTCATCAATAATATTGAGATAAATCAAAGGTACCTAATGATTAGTTTGAAATACGGGCAGTGGCGCCAAACCTTTTTTAAACCACTGGGGTAAACCTTGTTTAAGGGCACCCACCTACCTACCTTTTATACCTAAAAGCAGTCCCTCATGACCCAACCCCCCCCCCCATTCACTAAAAATGTTCTGGGGTATTTACCCCACTTGCCATATGTGTTCGGCGCCACGCCGCCACTGAATATGGGGGTTATGTGCATATAATGTTGTTGGATTAACCATATTATGTGTGTGACACAAATAAATTACAGAAACAAGTAGGCTGCAAGTAGCCACGAGGCCTATAACACTGTGTCTCGGCTGAATAGGGCAATTGTGACCTTGAACACTGCACCAGTAAATGTTTCCATAACTCAGGGATATGCAAACGTTTAACCTCAAATTGGTAAGAAAGATCATTTCCATATTCCATGTTTTAAGAGGTTCAGATTTCAAATAACAGATAAACATAAATCTGATCAGCTGATTGAGTGTCATTTCTATTTTTTTCTATTGCCTAACCAAATGACATAATTTGATATTTCTATTTATTAACCTGAATCATTTATATACAATATTATTAGGTAATGGCATACATACTTATTGAGCCTACTCAAAAACAGTAGTTACAGTTAAAGATGTTAAAGGGAAAATCGTCCAATCAACACTACATAGATAAGTATTTGAAAATATAGGTAGGTACAAAGTTAGGTATAAAAATTTTAGTGATCTGTGTTTAAGAAATATTACAAATAGTTAGAATAAGGGTTAGAATTATATAGACTTAATAATTATTATTAGAATAAACATTGTTTAGTTGGGTCAAACCTATATCATGAACCTAAATATTTTTGACATAGGTACCTAGGTACCTACCTAAGCATAAAGCCCTACTTTGAAATCAAGAACATAACTATCATTTAAGATCATTTAAATTAGCAGACTATCACAAAATATTTAGAATAATATATTGTGATGTATCATTATTTTTGAGATTAGTTTTGATGGAACAAACTAGTTTAATAAAAATGATTCAGTCTAATAACGAATACCGTGCCTACTATGTTTGACACCAGTTTACCTGAACATAACAAGATTTCAATTATAATAAATTGGCATGTGACAGTTAACATACATTAATACAAAAAACAATTAGGATCTATAGTATTTTCCGAGGTATTATCAATATGTTCCATAGGAACTAAGATTCTAAAAACCTTAAAAGTTTATATAAAACCAAATAAATGTTCATATTTATTTATTAATTATGTACCTACGTCCTAATTCTCAAAACTCTATTTACAAATTATATTTTGTAGCAGTGAAATTAGTACATTATGCAATGATATTCAAAAATATAACTTTCCAACTAGCTTTAAATTATGATGATAATAATAATAATAATAATAATAAATCACAAATAATTAAGTAAGTAGCGAGGTAAGTAGGTAGTAGGTATAAATATTAATCATCTTTGTATACAGGGTGTTGCACGATAAATGTGTCAAACTTCTAGACACCTCAAAAGGAACAAAAAAAGTCCTTATGACCATAATCAAAGTATCAATAATAAGGGTGACAATTTCCATGTTTGTGTTTTTTTGGTTAAACACAAGTTTGATTCATAATAATATTTATATCTGCTAAACCGTAGGTACTACAATTAATTTGAATACATTGATGAAAAGCTCATAAAATTGGAATTAAGAAAACATATCTTACAAGGTTCCCACCTGATTTTTTGGGTAAAAAGAATAACACAAATGTTTTAAAATTTTAAAATGTCGAAATTTTAAAAAATTTCAGTTTTATCTAACAATTATTTTTTTAAGGCAGGAGTCATAACTCATAAGGACTTTTTTTGTTCCATTTGAGGTGTAGAAACACATTTATCGTGCAACACCCTATATAAAATAATGCCCTAAGTATAAGTCTAAGATAGAGTAAAGATAAATTGAATTAACAAAAATATTGCAAAATATATGAGTTAATATAATATTTATAAATAAATATTGGAGTCATCCCTTCCATCTGGGCCTCTTATATTATAGGTAACTTTTCTTTATTAATATGGTAGTAGTTGCTTATTTCAGACAAACTGGACCTATTATTTAAGCGATTGCATAAATAATTGATATTTGTTTTGGTAATAAAAAATATGTCTGTTATTTGCAGCCTACCAGTTGATAGATTAAACGGCAACTAGGTAGGTACTACCTATACTTTACAATTTGTAGTTACTTGTTACATAGATTTAATAAGCATTGAAGCATACTTATGATTTTATTTTAGCCTCGGGGGAAATGGGGCTCTCTATCCCTTAGTATAATCAACGCAAATACATGTTTAAATACCCAATATGGGTAATAGGAACATAATAGGTAGGTAGGTATGTTGTACAATGTACAACATTATCCAACTCTCAAACCACCATTAGCCTAATTATTTTATTAATTATCATATTCAATGGTATTTAGTCATTTAAATTGTTTTTAGTCAGTATTTATATTTAATGTACTTATCTACCTCCAGGCAAATTTCTATGGTTGATTAGACAAAATAGTATAACACAAATAGTGAAATGAGAATTATGTTGCAAATAAGCAAATTATATTGTCACATTTTAATCTATAGGTGATATAATTGTCCTATACAATTAAAATCCACTTAAGCATAATGTTCTTAATATAACACAATAGGCTGGTTAAACACATTGAAGTAGGTATGATGCGAGTATGATGTCTCATAAATTGTAGTTTTATCTACAAGTTTCTTACTGTTCCAAATACTTCAAAATAGTTTTCAAACTAGGTTTGATCGGGTTTGATATACAGCTCGATTGGCTCCAACTATACTAGAATAAATACTTCTCAATATTACATTACTTTTACAGACAATAGAAATCACTAATCAGTCAAAAACCAACTATATATAATATACTAAACCTATAAATTTGTCCACTCAAATCACTGGTTAAACAAAATACCTGGATATTTGCACGATGTTATTGATATGCTCCATTATCCCGGTGGGGAATAATTTTTCACCGGTTCGGACCAACGAATTTCTAGCAATAGTTTGAATAAAATTGTAAAATACCTATCATGATGACAAATTTGGAATTCAAATCATGAGCTGCTATATTATAACTTACCTACACATGTTGTATAAAATAGGGCTAACTGTCAAACTGCGACAATCTTTTCTAGGCCAGGCTGTTTACGAAAAGTTCCAAAATAGACAAAGTACCCTACAAAGTAGTTACAGAAATAAATAAACGACCTATGGAACGGTGTTAATAACAAAGAAATCCTAAAATGTACCTCATATGGAACACCATCACCAAGACCAAACGCGTTTCATCTTCCGATTCTAAATTTCTATCGAGTTCGAGTATTTAACCACCACACGCGGCACATCGTTAAGACTGGATAATAATATGGGTCTGCGTTCGAAAAATGTACTTAAATAATATTATATTAGAGAATCAAGAGACTAATGCAATCTCGAGATAATCGTAACGCGTTATCATCTACAAATTTGGCGATGATAACAATAACAATAACAACAACAAAAAGTCAATAATAACAACAACTACAATAACCACAATAACGTCGGCTTTGCAGACTGCGAAAACGTCTGTCCCCCAAAAACGGGCAGGGTATGGCTGATGGTGGTTGACACAAGCCAGCGTTCACGTATATATATATACATAATATCTATCTATAGATCCAAAATTCATTTCGAGCACCCATCGGAAGCGAACGCACGGCAAGAGGAGGACGACGAGACGTTGCTCAATAACGTACGCGACGAAACGATACGTCGATAATAATAATAATATTATGAGATACCCATTACACGATCGCCGGGCCGTGACCTCGTTGGTCGCACACGCGAGCCCTCGAGCCACCTACGGCGGTTTTACGTTACGACAATGATGACATTTTCTTTTATATTTCGTTATTATTACTATTCGTCTACTGAATTAACAATAAACGTCATTAAAATCTCGTTGTTTTGTCACCACGGTTTTCGTTTTACCTTCGCTTCTCTTTGGGTTTTTTGTTTTCCATTGCGACGGCGGCGGGTGCGCGACAGCAGGCCGTGCACGATGCGCCACTACTTGGTTCGGGGGCCGTCGTCGGCCGACGACCGCGACTACGGGGCAAACTTTCACGAAAATACGCGTCGCGAAACGCGGTGGAAAATAATACGCAACGCTATCGGACGGCGGCGACCAACAGTAATAATAATAATTAATTATTGCAGTAATAATTTAATGTGATGACAAAAATATGATAACGACGATTGTAATAATATTATTATAATTCTATGATGAAAAAAATAAAATACAAATAATAATATATCGTCCGAAGCACTGAGTGTGCGGTACTGCGGTTTGTTATCTGGCGAGAACGATGTCGTCGGGACCCGCGCGCGAGCGCGACACACTACGAACGCAAACGTACGGCAATCGCGAGAGCACTGAGCAGTGAGCACTGGCCACTGACGCCTGACGGCGGGCGGCGGCGGTAAAAGTTTCGGTCACCCTTCACCCTCCCCCCTCATAGCACGGCACACCCGTAAAGCGTACCTACACCACAGACGGCCGGAGAGGAGAGGGCTTGGACTTTTTAATAATAATAATAAATTGCAGTTAAACGGAAACCGGTTACGGCGCACTTTGAGCGCGTTCGGGTCGCGTCGGTCGATTTCGAATAGTTTTTTTTTGTTTCCCATCTCAGATTCAACACTACAAGTCTAGTGCAGCCTACCGCGTTACCCGACACCCGGCGGTAAGGAGAGACGACACTCGTGACTCGTGTCGGAACTCGGGCTTTGATAGTTGATGGTGCGGCCGGTGGTGGCGTAGGAGGGGTGGACCAGATTTTTTTATCACGCGAAAACGATACCCAAAGATTTCCGAGATTCGCCCGTACATACTACATCATAGCATGTCGACGATTTTCCACGATCTGTGCGATGTGCATAAATCAGGAATCGAAGACATGACCACTGACTATAGGTCATGGGACTAAGTAGACCGTGTTTTCGAGAAAAAAATTATTCCCAGTGATTACGTGGCAGTCTACGTCACGGTTGTCTCTTTACTCGTCGTCTTTATTGTCGTTGATGTCGTTATTTGTTGTTGTTGTTGTTGTTGTAGTGGTGGCGGTGGTCGTTGTGTTGAACTATGTCTTAAGGGTACGAGTACGCCGACATTTCTTTCGTACCGTAGACCGTAGTAGGTATCCGGTATCGTACTGAATAATATAAGTCGTACTACTCGTACTCTCGTTGACATCACGTGCCTACAACAATTACTTACTAGTTACTACTGCCTGTCCACTACCCCGCGCCCCCGCTGTCGCTGGGTAGTCCGCGGCTGATTGCTGATAACCAGAGTACGACGTACCGGTCCAGTGTTGCCAGTAACGCAGTAACCGCGGTCGCAGTGAAACCACGCACTCTTGAAGGATCGTGCGAGCCGCGGCTATAATATATTATTTGCTACTGTCCATACTCCATTTTTCGACGAGCTCGTTCTAGTTTTTTTTTTGGCCCGACAGCTACAACATACAATAATTATAAATAAAAATAATAACCATTCACTAAAAACGGCCGATTTGACGATGTACCACGCGATGCTTATAGTTATGCTTTGGTCGCATACTGCCGTCCGCCATTCGATTTTACCTTTATTTTATTATGTGAATAGGTAGGTGCTCACTGTAATAAGTAAATAGTAATAATACTTATTCTGCTACACTACTACACTACTACACAGTGTACTGAAGTGCACATGATTAGTGAGTAGTGACGTATACTCGGAGTTTAATTAAATCTCACCATATAACTGAATATAGGTATTATACACTACCTATATTATAGTGTGTTTCCTTTTAAAGGCAACACAAAATATTTCTGCCCATGACCTAGGGGTTTTGCCGTTTTTGAAAAGGGTTGAGGAATAATGAAATACATATTTTTTGACGATTTTCCAAATTTCCATGCGATTTCATGTATTTTTGACAGTACTTTATACTAGTACCGTACCTAGTTAAGTAAATTTTGGTTTTAAATTTGTATTTTTGAATTTTACAAAATTTGGTCTCTCCAAATGGCAAATATCATGTTGACATTTCAAAAAATGATAGTTGTATAATGTATTGAGTAAGCGCACAATGAAAGTGCTAACAATTTAAAAAATGTGTTGGTATTTCTGAATCCATACCTTCTCCCGAAGCAGACAAAAATGATTCGTGTTAAAGTGTTACCATTAAAATTTAAAGGGGAACAAATCTACATTTATTTTCAAACTCTGAGGTTATTTTATATTTATATATAAGTTAAATGTTTATATATAGCCATATAGGTACAGAGTCAGTGGCGTATTTACGGGGGGTGACAGGGGGCAATTGCCCGGGGCGCCAAATTCTGAGTCCTTAAAGGGGCGCTGTTGCTAGAGATTATAACAAAATTATTTTTTTATTTTATTGAATTTGTTGAGAAATTATATTAGTGATAAATGACAAGTGAATACCTGTATCTTTCTTATAATATCTTTTACATTTCTATATCTACATATTTCTATGAATATATAATTATAATGTATTTTATTAAATTGTCGTAAAAAAATGCTAAAAGGCTAAAATCAAAATTATAATTTGTTTAACTATTTAATTAGGAATAAACAAAGTGTTAATGATAAAATAAAAGTGTTCTCTAAATTAGTGGAAGCATAAATGCAATAAGGGGAAAATATACATTTTGGGTTATCAATTATCACTTTTACATGGCTTGACCGATTGAAAAAATTTCTGTTTTGGTTTCGATTTGTACACTGGTTTCCAATTTTTTTCGATTTTGGTTTTGGATTTTGTTATCGGTTTCAGATTTTAAACGGTTTATACCGGTTTCATGACCCGGACTATTTAAGTTCATTCTTAGTTTATTATTTTTTTTGAATCCCTGGATCGAGCGTCCGATCGCATATTGTGTAAAGTAAACTTTCCAAAATGTCAAGATACAAAGATTTTCAAAAAAAATACCGTTTTTTAAATTATATTTTCGGTTTTTAATTATAATACAGGTAGGTATCCAATATTTTTCGAGTCGGTATTGAATTTAATACCGGTTTCCAATTTTTTTCGTTTTCGGATTTGATTTTGTTTTCGGTTTCGGTTTTATAACGGTTTATACCGGTTTCAAGCCCTGCACTATGAACTGACAGAAAAAGTAAATTGTAAATTAGAGTTTTTTGTGACAGTAAGTAAAAGGAAACTGAGAAAAAAAGGGGCACCACAATGTGTGTACCCATGGCGTTAAAATCGTAAATACGTAATTCATAAAATATAATTATTTTTATGTCTAAATTTTGAAAATAATAAGCAATAGCCAATAACATTAATTGTGTTACACGACTGTTATACCTATAACAGTCCTTAATCCTATTTGAGTAGGACACTGTTTTTGTGTATAATGCAGGATTTTGATATTTTCTGGTCGTGAAAAAATTTATAATTTTCTTTAAACAAAGCTAAGTATTATACTATTGTTCCTTTTTTTTAACAGATTATCATTCACCTTTGTTTGTTAGAACTCTGAATAGTTCAATAATTACGTGTGACATTTATTCTTCGTATTTATATATCATATTAATTGATAAACATAACACCATAAGAAATTGATTTTAGATTTTTCATATTAATGCGTTCTTTTGTGTTGCGAGTTGCGACTAACAATAATATTAGTCTTTGAATGTATTATTACGAATACCCAAATCGATACAATACCTACCATAATAAATAACTCTTATTTGAGACTTGTAAAGTCTATATTAAAATAGTACCTACTTAATAACTAAAATCTATATTTTATGTAGAGTGTAGGTACAACGTGACGGCACTAAATCTTTTGAAATCGGTAGGTACCATACGTCCATATGGGTTCGTACAAGCCAGATATAAGCAATATCGTTCGTAGGTATACGCATGGTGCATGTCATTCCCACTCGGTGATATACGTATAACATGACGACGCTTACGTTGGGAAATGCTGTTTGCTTCATCGACCAGTTTTTAAAATTCAAAAAATTACTGAGGATTTCTATAGTTTTATCACCTAATACGTGCCGTATACTGGGTGATTCTTTTATCAAACAACACTCATTATTTCAAAAAGTGTAAATTTTTTTGAAAATATTTTTTTACATAGTTTCAAGTCGCTTATAAAACAACGTTTTTATAAAAAAATTATATTTTTAAATATTTTTTATCCTTATAATCTTTTATGTTTTTTACTTTTTTAAATTACAACATAGGGTTTTAATTTTATATTCTAAAGTAGAATATTTTTCTTAGTATTTTGATACATTAAAATCGAATTTGTGGCGAGTAGTTTACGAGTTATAAGTATTTAAAGTTTAGACGAGCGGAGTGGAGTGGTTCGGGGTTACCCCGCAAAATGTTTGTCCACTTCACCACTCATCAAACTTTGAATATTTATAACTCATAAACTACTCAACCCAAATTCGATTTTCATGTATCAAAATACTAAGAAAAATATTCTACTTTAGAATATAAAATTAAAACCCTATGTTGTCATTTAAAAAAGTAAAAAACATAAAAAATTATAAGGATAAAAATATTTAAAAATATAATTTTTTTATAAAAACGTTGTTTTATAAGCGACTTGAAACTATGTAAACAAATATTTTCAAAAAAATTTACACTTTTTGAAATAATGAGTGTTGTTTGATAAAAGAATCACCAGTATAGGTATTTTGAACATTTCGCGATCATAATTGATAATACTATTATAATAAATAATGGCCTCCTGGCCCCCTCATGTCATCCATTTCGCTTCGGAACTCCAAACTTTTTACACAAACTGCAATGTCACGTGCTTCCTTATAATAATACACGGTAGGCAGAGGACATATTCTGCACACTGCGAGTCCCGGTCGTGCATTCCACCGCCGTTTAGTGCAATATTTACGAGTAATTACGATGCTCAAAAAATGTTGGCCTGCACAGTGCACGATGACAATATAGTGGGTACCTATCTATTT